GGAGCTGGGGGAAGGGAGGGAGCGGTCTTGGCTTCGCTGCGGGTCAGGGCTGTGCCTTTGGGGAGTCGGGGGGACACAAAGGCCGCAGGCGGGCAGCGCTGACGTCTCGGCGCTCTCTGCCCGCTGCGTCTCCCTGCTGCCAGACTTCCTCCCCCTGAAGTGCGACGCCTGCGAGCAGATCTTCTGCACCGACCACATCGCGTACGCCCAGCACGACTGCACCTCTGCCTACAAGAAGGTAAGCATGGAGAGGAGGTCTAATCCAGCCTCGTGCTCAGAGCTGCTGAGTGTTCCCAGCCAGCGATCAGAACAGTTTCTGCCTTCTTTGGTCACTTGGGCGGTCCCCCTTGGGATGTGCGCTGAGTCTGGAGGTGTCCCGGAAAGCCAGGATCTGTATCTCAGTGCCGCAAAGTTCCAGCCCGCCCTCTGCCGCTGGGTGAAATGGTTTGGGCATCTCCCAGCCCTGCTGTCTTCCTTCTCAGAGTGTGTGTCCGCGCCTGTCGCAGCCGCTGGGTCAGAAACAGCAAGCTTGGAGGGTGGTGAGCAGGATCTCAAACCGCAGGTGATGCTGCGGAAGCTGAAGCGGGCAGATCCTGAAAGGGAGAGAGATGGCCGCACAGCACTCGAGGTTGCCCAGCTACGTGCTCCCAGCCCCCTTTTCTTGTCTCTACAGGATGTGCAGGTCCCTGTGTGTCCCCTCTGCAACACCCCGGTCCCTGTGAGGCGGGGGCAGATGCCCGATGTCGTGGTGGGTGAGCACATTGACCGTGACTGCAAGTCCGACCCCGCACAGCGCAAGCGCAAGGTAGAAACCCAGCGCTCTCCACGCCACTGCTCAGCTCTGCTGGGTCCCTGCCGAAGCCTGGGGGTGGGATGAAAACGGCACACAGCTCGGCTCTGCCTGGTGCCCTCTGCGTTTGCACAGGCCAGGGGCAGGAAGGGTTGGTGAGCTGGAGGTGTACGCATCTGCAGAGCTTTGTGGTGTGAGTCTGGGGCTGAGATAGCGATGGGGTGGGGCTGGGCAGCCACGTGGGACACGAGGAAAGGCAGGATGAGGATGGGAAACTGCATGCTGCCATTAGGAAAATGCAATCCGCAATTAGCTGCCCCTTCTTGCCAGGAGAGGGAATTGCTGCAGGGAGCAGCTGGCCCTGCGGGAATCCAGCCCAGCAGCAGCTGGAGGGCTCTGGGCTGTCCCCACTGCCCTGGCAGGGCAGGCAGGAGTCCCTGGGCGAGGCAGTCTCTCTTGCTGTGCATTCTGTGATCGTGGAGACCCTCGTCTATGAGGACTGAAGCGCTACTGAATTACTAATAAACTATCTAAAGAAAACTAGTATTCAGAGACAAACTCCAGAGGCCCACAGAAGTGGCGCTGGGAGAGAAAGCTGGTCGGTGCCCAGGGCCTGGCATGGAGGGAAGGGACAGCCCCAGCCCTGCCGGGTGTCTTCCTTTTCACCGCTGCCATGTCATCTTTCAGATATTCACCAACAAGTGTTTGAAGCCCGGCTGCAAGCAGAAGGAGATGATGAAGGTGATCTGTGACCAGTGCCACAAGAACTACTGCCTCAAGCACCGGCACCCCCTGGACCACGACTGCAGCGGGGCAGGGCGTCCCCTCTCCAAAGCAGGGTGAGGGCCTGGGGACAGACGGGCTGGCAGGGACGGGGCTGTACTTGTCAGATGGGTTACAGGGAAGAAGCCAAGCTCTTCCCGGCCCGTTGTCTGGGACCGCTGCATTCTCACACTCCCTGCCCTGTGTGCCGGGGTGTCCTCCAGCAGCGTTAAGGTTTGTAGAGCCAGCACAGCTTTATACATAGTCTCTCCTTTCTGCAGCAAAAGCCGCCGGTACTGCCCACGGGCTGTTTTGTTCTTGCTTCTCTGCCTAGTCCCTTATCCTGTAGGCGATGATTTCTGCACAGTGTTTTGGGGAGAGAAACGGCACTTGAAACCCTTGGGCATAGCTGAGCCACAACATAGGTGCTGTTGGGAGGAGGAGAGGGAGCTGGATGCCAGGGATGTGTCTTATCCAGCTTCATCTCCCTTGGGTACTCAGTGCCCAGGGATGGCCCACGATAGTAAAGCAGCTGCGTCCTGTCTGTCCTAGGCACGCTGCAGTTGCAAGAGCCCAGGCGTCCTCCTCCAAAACAGTCACCGCATCAAGCAGTGGAGCTGCCCGGCCAGCAGACAGCCCCTCTTCTCTGGCCTCTGCCAGGTATGGTGACGGCCCGACTCGTAATTCTGAGGTGGGCGCGACCAGGCTTAGCTTGGCTCCCTGTGGGACGCAGGAGCGACAGCTCCCTGCTTCTTGTGCATCGGCAGGGCTGCGTCCTCGTACTAGGGCTCCCTGCCTTGGCAATAACCCAGCTTCTCTCCTGTTTGCAGAGGAGGCAGAGCAGCTGCCTCGCAGACTGCCAGCACATCCCCTCCGGCTGTCATGCTGCAGAATGGGCTGGTGAGTGGCCTGGCCTGGGCATTTGTGGTGGGTTTGGGTGGTTCCTGTGCCCTGGGGAGCTACTGCAGCAACTGCTTTGTCACCCATGCTCTGTAGGTGACCGTGGTGCTCCCCAGCTGGGCCTTCCCTGGCAAACAGGGGTCCCGGATGCTCAGTGGGGTATCGGAGTTTGCTCTGGTGCCTGCGAGTGGCAGCTCTCGGCTGCGCTTGGTGCTCATCTTTCCCTGGAGGGACAAAGTGTGCTGGCTGTTCAGCCTGGGTGTTGTCTTTCTGTTCTGCAAGCCAAGGGCAGAGGAGGTGGCTGGAAGCTGCTTCCCACTGGTATTCTTAGCGTGCTCCCTGCACTGGCAGACAGGGCTGCACTCCCTTGGGCACGGGGAGAGAGAAGTACAGATCTGTCCTGAGCCCAAGGCCTTCACCTTGGCTGTGTCTGGCCTTGGAGAGGGGAGGTGCACCCACCCTTGGCCAGGCAAGACCGTGCCCGCTGCGTGTCCCTCAGGGCTGCCTCCTACCACCTCAGCCAAGCTGGTGACAAGATGTTTTGTTTCAGAGCGAGGAAGAGGCACTGCAGCGAGCTCTGGAGATGTCCCTGGCAGAGTCAGCACGCAGCTCAGCACATCCACCCAGGTACAGTCCGGGGACACGTGGGACACGTGGTGTCACACCCCAAGCCTACATGTGAGAGGTGCCCGGGGCAGAGTCATGTGGCTCCGGGATGACATTCCTCTCAGCACATGGCTCTGGATGATGCCTCTGTGTGGCTGGGGGGGGGAGAGGAAGAGTCCAGAGCCATCACGGAGCTCTGTTCAGTGAGCAAGCCCTCTGGAGTGCTGGGAGGGGACAGTGATTGACAGTGACTGACAGCACAGAGTAGGGCAAACCATTGTCTGACTGCTTGTCAGCTAATGAGCGTGGCTAGAGCATGACAGAGGTGGAGTAGGGGTGTTCACAGAGGACACCCGGGAGCCCAAGTCCTCAGGCATGTTACCTGGTGCTGCTAAAAGCACCGTCTTACAGACTGGAGTTAACATGGTTCTCCTCGGCCCAGGATGCTGGCTGCCAGCCCCAGCTGGATCCTCTGGTCCCTCCCCAGCCCCTGGCTTGTTCAGGGTGATCCTCAGTTGCTCCCTGCCCTTAGCTGTCCTGGAGGGTTGCAGTGACAGGAGATCCTGCCACCCCGAAGGGCTCTGAGCGCTGGCCCAGTGAGCCCGGGGCAGTCCAAGGCACACAATGCACCACTGTCCCCAGCAGCACGCAGGAGGAGGAGGATTTGGCACTGGCCCAGGCGCTGTCAGCGAGCGAAGCCGAGTACCAGCAGTCGCAGCGGCAGGTGAGTGAGGCTGGCTGTAGGCTCTGCGCCGTGGTGGGGTTGATCCCAGCCTGGGTGTGTCATGGTGGGGTTTTCCCTGGGTTCTGCTTCCTCTGGGCTCTGTCTAGGGTCACTTTTCTCACCAGGAGGGCAGCCCAGCCTGGGGCGGTGGCAGCATCACTGCTGAGCACACAGCCCTGGGGACTTGAGCACTGGGTGTGCCCCCTTGTAGGACAGAGGAAGGAGCCCGTCTTCCCTTGCTCACTGTGTGCTTCTTCCCGTTCCAGGCGCACGGTTCAAAGCCATCAAACTGCAGCATGTCATAGGCAGGCGGGGCAGGGTGTGCCAGTGGACGTGGGATCCTGCTAGTGACCTGAGGAGCAGCTCTGGCCTCCCACGTGGATGCCGTGGGGTTCTGGCCTGGACACTGATGACAAGAGCCCCTCTCCAGGGACAGCTCTTCTCCCTGGGGGCTGTAGGTGAGCCACCAAACACACACTGACACCTCAACCCTAGTACCTGTATAAAGTCGGTGCAGCAAATTGCTGATGCTCCTGGAGAGGTGAAGACGGTGTGGGACGAGGCTGAGCACACACTGACCAAAGCAAGCAGCACCCCACAGTGTGCACTTAGCCACAGCTGCCGTGGCCATGTCCCAGCACTGCGGGGACTGTGGGGTAAGGGCAGAGCCAGCCTGGAGGGGAAGTGCTGTGTGGGGACATCTCTGCGCGCTCGGATGCACAGCTGGGATGCGGCTGCCTGCTCCAGTAGCCGGGGGCTGGATTTCATGCTCTGGGAAGGGCCGTGCCAGCCCCTCAGAAAAGAGCAACGGTGGCTGGGACGGTCTCTTACACAGGTATGGCACGGCTGAGTATGCGGCCTCCCGGCAGTGTGAAGGCAGCCCCTTCCCAACTCCCCATGCCCTCAGTGCCTCCCCTGCTGTTTGCATGCACAAGCGCACGTTGGGCCTTATCCGACTTGGCTGGGGCCCAGGACCCCTCTGAGACTGAATGGAGCTGTGTTTCCTTTCTGGTTTAATTTAACAAAGGCCATTAACTGAAAAGTAACCTCAGCAGTGACTTGACTGTGCCAGCGTCGCTCGCGCGGGAGGACTGCAGCTGCCTTCCTGCTGCTGGCTGCTCCTCTGCTGCCCTAAATATCCCAGAGCCCTGTTTTAATGCTGCTGGGGCAGGAACGCCTCCCTCCTTCCAGCCGTGCTGCAGGGCATCCCCTCCTGCTGCCCTGAGGAGCAGCAGCAGAGAACCCCTTCTTGCAAACACAGCCCTGAGCCTGGAGCCAGCCCTTCCTTGCTGGTGTTTGGAGGCAGGAGGTGATGCCTGGGTCGCGGGGGACTTGTCCTGCTGGCCTCTTGCAGGGGGGTCTGCAGCTGGGCAGAGTGGTGCTGCTTTCCCACCTGCTCTCTCAAGCTTCCCTGCTGGAACCGCTCCTGCCTGCGGGGCTGTGCCTGGTTCTGCACAGGGCTGAGCCGTCCCATTCCGAGCAGCGTACAGCTGGGGTGGGGGGGGTAATCTGCTGGCGGTGCCTCCCTGGGGCGGGAAGTGGGTTCAGTCTGGGCTGAGGGAATGCTGAGACTTGTCAAAGTGCTGCTTGGTAGAAAATAAAAGCATAGCACAAGGCGCAGAGGCGCTTTGGGGGAGCGGTTCCTTGGTGTCCAGCCCAGAGCAGTGCATCTCTGCTGATGGGTGCAAGTGGGGGACACAAGGGGGGGGGGAAGTGGGCACCAGCCGCGCTGCTTCTTCCTTTGCCATCGGAGTACAGCCCTATGCCATGCTCAGCCCTTTGTGCCAGGATGGGGCAGGCGCTGACAGCCTGCTCTATCCCCTCGCCCGCCTGAGCCCAAGGACCCTAACCCCGTGGCAGAGCTGCTGGTCGACCCAAGGGCACAGGCAGTAACCCTGCCTGCCCCTGCCTGGAGCACTCCCCTGGCGGGGGGGGAGTCCTGCGGGCGCATACCCTGCCCAGAGCACACAGGCACAGAGCTGGGAAGGACCTGGTTTAAGAAACTACACAACAGCAAAACAAACAGATACAAACGTAGTGGAGTGTCCAACCCAGCCCCTGCAGCTGCCGGGGCACACGGGGCCCCGGGGCACAGCCAGCAAAGGGCTCCCTGGCAGCATGGGGGCCTGGGCCCTGGGTCAGCATCACAGCGCAGCCTCCAGCTGTGCTCACAGCCCCTTCTTGCTGCCCAGGGGCTTCTCGGTGCGGCGCTCCTTGCTCTCGCCCTCGTCCCCGGCCTGCTGCTGCAGCCACATACTGGCATACATGCCACCCTTCTGTAGCAGTTCCTCGTGCCTGCGGGGAGAGCATGGGGGTGCAGGGTCCCAAGCTGGCCCCAGAGCCAGGGAGGGGGTCCCCGTGGGCACAGAGAGCACCAAACCCCCCCCCTGCGCACACCTCCCTCGCTCCACGATGCGCCCATCCTTGAGCACCAGGATCTGGTCTGCGCCCACCACGGTGGAGAGCCTGCAGGGGAAGGCAGGGTGTTACCCTGTTTCAGAGGGGAGAGGGCCCCGGGAGGTTTGCACAGTGCAAGGAGCAGCAATCGCAGGGGCTGTCACCTCCCGGGCAGGAGGACAGGTCTGTGAATCCCTCTGCGGGGGGCTGGCCAGCTCAGAGAGCTCGGCACCTCCTGGATCATCCTTTTCCCCCGTCCCTACCTATGTGCAACAACGATGGTGGTGCGGTGGGCGCAGACCTTGGCCAAGGAGGCCTGGATGTTCCTCTCGGTCTCCGTGTCGAGTGCAGATGTGGCCTGCGGGAGAGGCAGGGTGTTGGGAAGGGACATGGGCAGCACAGGTAGCCGCAGGGACAGGGGCTGCTGCAGAGCTGGGCAAGGCTGGGCTGGGGTCCACTGCCGTTACCTCATCCAGCAGGATGATGCGGGGACCCTTCAGGATGGTGCGTGCGATGGCGACGCGCTGCTTCTCCCCCCCGCTCAGCTTCAGCCCCCGCTCCCCCACTTGGGTGTTGTATCCTGCAGGCACAAGGGCAGGAACGTGCTGTGCTGGTGCCCTCCGGGACAGGGATGGGGACCAGGGCTCTGCTGCATGGCGGGGTCCTGCCGGGACCACGCAGCCCTCTGGCGCCGCCCCAGGCCCACCCT